GCAAGGCAAAACTTGCTGATGGCACCTGGGGGTTGAGGGCTAAGTGAAGCCCTGCAGCCCCTGCAGGGATTGGTTCACCAACCCAGTGGTGGATTTTAAGGACTGTGGCGGGTAGCTCTGGTTTTCCAGAAGCTTCTTGCTCCCTCTTGTGAAAGACAGTTTGGTGTAGTGGTTATGGAGCTAGGCTAAGCCCAGAAGCCAGGTGGGCGCTCTCTCTCAGTCCAATCCACAGGAGACGGGAGCTTTATTTACAGCGCCTTGAGTCATATAAAATAAAAGTAGGGTATAAATCTCATAAGGGAGAAATAAAGTCCCACACTCATAGTTAACACGGCATGTGGGAATGGTCTTGAGAGACACAGGAAGAGCTGCAGACTACACAATCGTGCAAAAAGTTCTCTCGTTTCACGAAAGGAAGAGGGGCGTGGGAAGCGTCTCGTAAGGGACCCTCCCTAGCTTCTAGAGAGTAGAACAGTGGTTCTCAACCTTTTTAATGCCACGACCCCAACCGGTCGTAAGTTGAGGACTAAACCGGTCGTAAGTCGAGGACTAAACCGTCGTAAGTCGAGGACTACCCAACCGGTCGTAAGTCGAGGACTTTCCCTGCCCGGGAGCGCCGCGTATGCGTGGTTCCTCCCCCTGCGCCGGCCGAGGCGTAGCTGGCAAGCGGCAGAGACGGAGCAGGCCGACCACCAGCTGGCCCAGCCCAAGGGAGGCAAGGCACCCGCCGGAAAAAGGGAAAAAAATGGCGGACAAAAAAAATGGCGGACAGCCTTGCTTGGTGACCCCCGTGAAATGGTCGATCGACCCCAAATGGGGTCCCGACCCACAGGTTGAGAACCGCTGGAGTAGAAGGAAACGAGCCGAGAGATACTTTCAGACTTGCAAGATTCTGTTCATTGAACTTTACAATAAAGACAGAGAGAGAGAGAGAATTTCTTCTGTGCCTCTTGTCTGCACGGCCTTGAAGGGCTAACGCTAACCCACCCTCCAAACCAAAAGGAGATGAAAAAATTGGCCCTGCCCCTTTTGTGGTGTCCCAACATCTCTGGGTGGGGTCCCCCATAATGCTGGAATGATGAGACTGAACTGCGGCTTCTGGCCCTGCAAACATCTGCCCTAAATGTGCTGGTCCCAAAGGTGGCCACAGGTGAAGACTACCTGTATTAAGACCACCATTTCGTGAGCTGTGGTAGTGCAGTGGTTAGAATGCAGTATACTGACTCTGCCCACAGCCAGCAGTTCAATCCTGACCAGCTCAAGGTTGACTCGGCCTTCCATCTTTCCCAGGCTGGTAAAATGAGGACCCAGATTGTTGGGGGCAAATAGGCTGACTCTATAAACCGCTTAGAGAGGGCTGTAAAAGACTGTGAAGCGGTATATAAGTCTAAATACTAGTGCTAATGTTATCGCTCGCTCCTTCCTTCCTTCCTTCCTTCCTTCCTTCCTTCCTTCCTTCCTTCCTTCCTTCCAGTGAGCAGTGGTTAAAATGCAGTATTGCAGGCTAAATCACTGCTCACTGCCAGCAGTTCGATCCTGACTGGCTCAAGGTGGACTCAGCCTTCCATCCTTCTGAAGTCAGTAAAATGAGGACCCAAATTGTTGGGGGCAAATATGCTGCCTCTGTAAATGGCTTAGAGAGGGCTGGAAAGCACTGTGAACCAGTATATAAGTCTAAGTGCTAAATGCTACTGTTCTTCCCTCCCTCCCTCACTTGCTTGCTTGCTTCCCTCCCTCTGCCAACTGCCTGCAGTTCGATTCTCATCGGCTCAAGGTTGACTCAGCTTTCCATCCTTCTGAGGTCAGTAAAATGAGGACCCAGATTGTTGGGGACAATAGGCTGACTCTGTAAAACCGCTTAGAGAAAGCTGTAAAGCACTATGGAGCAGTATATAAATCTAAGTGGTATTGTTCCTTTCCCCATTCCTTCCTTCCTTCCCTCTGCCCACTGCCTGCAGTTCAATTCTCACTGGCTCAAGGTTGACTCAGCCTTCCATCCTTCCGAGGTCAGTAAAATGAGGACCCAGATTGTTGGGGACAATAGGCTGACTCTGTAAACCGCTTAGAGAGGGCTGTAATGCACTGTGAAGCAGTATATAAGTCCTAAGTGCTAAGGGCTAGTGCTCTAATTGTCAGCCAGCATTGCCACAACTTAGAATAGGCTGGTGCAGCCCCTTGTCACTCCTGTGGTTCAATCCCCGGGAGGTGGCGTTCTACACAAAATGCACAAACCCAGTAACTGTGGCTTGCAAAACATTCCTGATGGCTTTCTGAGTCGTAACCATCCATTGGGGACTCAAAAATCGATGGAAGAGCAAAGCTCAAAATGAAGATACAAGCTACCAGATCACAACCGAGCGTGGTGGCCACACATATAAATTCAAGTGGAGATCAGCAACTCTCTATGGAGTCTCTGTAATGCAGCCACCAGCCAGAATTTCCTTCAAATTTTGTCATTTTAATTTCTGCTGCCTAGAAACCTATGTTTTGTATTTTGCTGCTCTGTTTTACATTTTCTTTTAGCTTGCTTTTTGTCGCTGTTTTGTTTTACTTTTGTTCTGAAGACCAATATACTAGTGTTTCTTTAAAATAGAAATATATAACAATTACATTAATAAAATGTACCTTACCTTAGGCTGTGCTCTGCGAGGGAAGGCAACCTTTGGGTCAATCTGAAAGAGAAACATGATTTTTTTTAAAAAAATCAGGTTGGTGCATCTACAGTTTCTACTGGGGACCAAAAATTCTCCAGCATCTTATGCAGAAAAATAACACAGCAGCATAAAAGAACATGCATGACAAAAGAATATGACAACTTGCTGGATATAACAATTAAAAGTTAGGGTGCCGTCCACAGTTTCCCTTAGATCCGTTGCGCGAAAGTAGAACTTGGCAGGATTTCCTGATAGATGTAACTATTCAAAAGAATCTTGGAAATTACAGAGGGGGCCAGAAAACAAAAGAACGAATGAAATTTAAATAGAAACCAATGAAGAAATCTTCATTTAGGAATAAAAAAAATCAAATTCACAGGTGAGGCAAAGATTTTGAACCCTAATTGATCACCACCATTTAGCTCAGGGGTAGTCAACCTTGGCTCTTTTATGACTCGTGGACTTCAACTCAGTCCACGAGTCATAAAAGAGCCAAGGTTGACTACCCCAGATTTAGCAGATCAGCCTGGCAGCCAAACAGGCAAATTTGGAAGTGTGGAATTTCAAATCATGGAAAGTAATAATTCCATTACAACCAAAAATCCGGTCATAAGTCAACGGTCACAAGTTGAAGCAGCTACATGAGCAGAAGTAATTTTATGGCCTTATTTGCAGCAGTCGTTATATGAACCATTCATATGGATGGACATTTACTGCCAGAAATCAGTAAAAAAAAAAAAAAAAACCAACGGTGACCGTGAATTGCCCACAAAATGCCGCTGTAAAGCTGGCCCAAACGACATTCGATCACATGCAGGGGGCTGCAGCCCAATCATTTATGGTGGCTGGGGGTGCTTTGGGGGCTATAAAGCACCTGCTCTGTGGCCATCACAAACTCTGAATGGTTGTTAAGCAACCGGCTGTAAGTCAGGGACACCTGCCCTGGTCAGACGTCCCTCAGGTACTGGGGGGGGGAACCCTCTCCCAAAATGTGAAAAGGCTTCACAGAGCAAAATCTCAAGGCCGGTTCTGGAGCAGAGGCTGCGGAATAACAGGTTTAAGTTAGCAAGAGGCAGGTTGCAGCTGGGGAAAAAAAATTATCTCTGCCTTCACTCATCCTGACAATCTATCTTGATATCTGGCACTTTGCACTACACTACACTGAATGGCTTTATTGTATTTAATTCAAAATTTATTTTATACATCAATTTCTATCCTATCAGACTTCAAGACAGGGCGCTGAATGAAATGGAGCCATCAGAGGAAATGTAAAGATGGGCAAAGACTTCAGTCGTGAGCGAATTTCACTGAATGCAACCAGGATTCTTAACTCCAGATAGGCATCCACATCAATAAACTCAGTTAAATCAGACTTCTCAAATGTGGGATTCGTCTGGACTACAATTGCTACGGCCCCTAGCATTCTCCCCACATTCACCGATGGGAAGTGTTGTTTTGGTCTGGATAGGCCACAGTCCTGGTGCCATTTTGTTCACTTTTTGCCAACTGATTGGAAAGACACTGCCTTCCCTAACAATGCAGATTTTTAGAAAACTTGAAATCAACAGAATTTCTTGAACCAAAAGTTTTTCTGTTCTAGCATATTTATTCAATTTATGATCCAGGGAGCATGGACCCGAGGAAGGATGATTTTATATGCTGGATAAGTACCTCCCAGACTACCAAAACATTTGAACTGATTTAGGGGAAAACACAAAAAAGTACATTTAAACAGACCAATCTTGCTTAAGGTTCCCTGGCCAAGAGGTTTTGGGAATGCTGCATACGGGCAGAAGAGCTAAAATCATGCAAAATCAGAATAACATCCTTGAAATTAAAAGGCAGTAGAGAAGACCCTTCACAGCTCCATTGGCCCTATACTTCCTACAATCAACATTAACAACGACAAGAACTGTGTCTATTTATATATCTAGTTTAATGAAAAGAAGAACTAGGGGTGACATGATAGTGTTCCAATATTTGAAGGGCTGCCACAAAGAAGAGGTCAACCTATTCTCCAAAGCCCCTGAAGGCAGAACAAGAAACAATGGATGGAAACTAATTGATAGAAGCAACCGGGAATTAAGGAGAAATTTTATGACAGAACAATTAATCAATGAAATGGCTTGTGGGTGCTCTATCACTGGAGGTTTTTAAGAAGAGATTGGACAGCCAAATGGTATAGGGTTTCTAGTTTAAGCAGGGGCTTGGACTAGAGGACCTCCAAGGTCCCTTCCAACTCTATTACTCTGTTAACTACAACCTTTTTACCCAAATTGGGTCAGTTTCACTCAAACCAGCTTCATTGGAAGGAAAATGCAAACAAGCCACAACAGAGCACATGGTATATAGCATAATGAAGGTTTCCAGTCATGGTTAGTTGTGGAGTCCTTGGTGCTCTCTGAGCTTGGTTGTTTTCTTGCATTTGTTTCATGACCCAACTAGGTAACATCTTCAGCGCTAGAAGGAGGGTTTTGCTCTATTTATATATAATAGTTTGCCCTTTCAGTGTCGGTGGAAGTGTGGTTTTGTTCTATGTAGTTCCTCGATTAGGTTATTATTGTTTGACTGNACAACCTTTAAAGCGCTCCATGGCAATGGACCTAGTTATTTGCAAGACCGCCTCCTACCAAACACCTCCCTTCGACCAGTCCGCTCCCACAGAGAGGGCCTCCTTAGGGTGCCGTCGGCCAGACAATGCCGGCTGGCGACCCCCAGGGGGAGAGCCTTCTCTGTGGCAGCTCCTGCCCTCTGGAATGACCTACCCCCCCCGACCTACGTACAACTGCGGACCTGCGCCTCTTCCGCCGAGCCTTGAAAAGCCATCTATTCCATGCGGCCGGCCTGGCGTAATCTTAATTAGGTTTTAGTATAGGTTTTTATATGGGGTATTTTAGAGCAGGCCTTTATTTATTTAATTTGATTTTAGAATAGATATTTATTGTGATTTTTATTATCGCCTGTTCACCGCCCTGAGTCCCGTAAGGGAGATAGGGCGGTATACAAATTTAAATAAACATAAACATAAACGTAAACACAAAACACCAGAACCGACCAGCCACAGCTTCTTCCGCCCCGAGAAGATCGGCAACATCTTGTGAGCATCACAAACTGGCACTGTCTCAGAGGGCAGGCCCCGACTCTCCTGCCAGCAAGGTCACTTCTGAGGTTGGGATTTTGAGGGATGCCCCCCTTCCCTCCCTCCTGCTTCTCTTCATCCACGCCCCAGAAGGCTTCTTAGGAAGACCCCAGCAGGGGCCAAGCCGTGGCCTGTAGTCAAGTCCCCGCTACTATGGGCATGTTATGCTAGGACAGAGGAAGTCTCCCCATTAAATAAACCGTGCAAAAGTTGTGCGATGTGTGTGCTTTTCAGCATCACCAGCGGACAGGAATTTGGGGCCAGCCACCCCCTGCCAAGTCATTTGGCCAATTTCTGTTTTCATGGCTGTGGCTCACTCTCGCGCTTCTGCTGTTTGTCATGTGGCATGGATTTATTTGGTACTGCATTACGTTCTGTATGGCTGTTAACTTTTGTGCGTATATTTTACAGAGCTGGATTTATTACAGGATACGTGGCTTCCACTTTAATGGAAAGCAATCGAACATGTTAAAGAGATGGAGGGGGGGGAGAGAATAAGAGAGGTGGTACAACATGCCAAAATGCCTTCCAGAAGAGACCCTGGGAGGACACCCAGTTTCCAGCTCCAGCACACCTTAATTGTGAAGGACCCCAGGGAGGTCTTGGAACCCCCTTCCCCTTGGCCTGACGCCTTCACTTTGCAGGAAAAATCTGCTTCTAATGACTGGGTGGAGTGCAGAGTTAATCCACTGCAATTCTCAAGTCTTGAAAGCCCTCTGTTTCCCCCCCCCCCAAGCAAAATACCTTCTGTCACCAAACTGCTTAATGGGATTAACCCAGTTCCAGCCCTGAGCCGCAGAGCTGTTCCTTGGGCTACCTGATCCGCTCGGCCACCTGCCCAGGACACCCTTGGCACCACGAGCCCAGCAGCCTCTCGGGCATCTGGGGACGGGGGTGTTATCAGAAGAGCTCAGCAGAGCTC